TTCACCCCAGGTTCTTAAAGTACCTAACGAAAAAGGATTTTCAAAGCTGAAAATTAAAGTTGAGATTCTAAATCACTTAGATTCAAGGTTCCAAGTTATTAGCAGAAATTATGACTTGGAAGCTTCTGCACAATTTTTTTAGCATCTTCTGTTTAGAGTACATTTATATATGGAGAGGTTTGATTTCAAGAAAGCATATATGAACAGTGAGGTCTAATTCTGGATTGGAAAAAATATCAAAATATCAGTGCTTTACTAACAGGCATATTTTAAGGTATTTTCTTAAGGACAGACAAAGATTCAATGACAGAGACAGGAAAGTATATTTGTTTATGGATGCATCATCATTTATTTTTCATGGAACAGAATTTTGCTTTTAGTATACTAAGCTCAGGAAACTGGTTTTCTTCTATTGTACTGTTCTCATATACAAAATATTTGGCCTTGACTCTATATCATTGCATATACAAAGAGCTTTCTTATAAATAAATAAACTGTGGTTTCATATCCATTATTACTGGATCCCATATGGCTATTCCTCTTTCCTGTGTGCACTGTGTAGCTATCCTTTATCAATTTTAAAAAAGTGTAAGAAGGATTTTTGCTAATCCATAAATTTTCCATTGTGAATAACCAGATATATCAAGCCATCCAGAAGCATCAAGCTGTTTATTCCACTTCTCTCAAACATGTTTCAGTCTTATCTTTTCCTTAGTTTATCTGTCTCTTGACTTTCAATTACAAAACATAACCTATTTTATTTTTATTGATATTGTTTCTGTCAACATTTAGATGAGAGTGTTTATCAGCCTCTTGTAGATATTAATGTTCCTGAGGCAGCAAATTTCGGCTGGTGTTTGTTCAGCAGAAAGAAGTTCATATCCTTATCATCCATAAATTCTTTAGTTCCACTGCAATCTGGGAACAACAGCAGTGATACAGCAAGGGTGGAAGCTGGAAATGGAATGCTGAGCTGAACACAGACATAATGCTTTTACCTAAAATCTGGATATGTCTGTTACAGGATTATTTGTCAAATCCCCATAGTCAAACTAGAGATTCAGAATAACTAGGACTAGACAGAAATATGCTGATTGTACTGAGTGACTATTTCTTTGGCACTGCCATCATGGGGGTTTTCTGTACCAACACTGAAGTGAGATTAGAAACAAATTTCCCGTAAAGATGTATGTCACCCTGATTCTTAAGACTTTCTAAAGCCTTCTGAGTTTACATTCCTTTGGAGAACTTTCCCACACAATTTCTGTAAACAACATATTGTTTACATTCTTTTATGGAGGTGGAGAACACTTGATGTACTGGTGGTTTGTCCAATGTCTTTGGAGAGGTGGCCCATTCACTCTCCAATCCAATGTCACCTTTGGGAAAATATAAAAGACAGAGTCAGATAATAAACTTTCTTCTTTACCTTGCAAATAGCAGGTGGCTCGCGTCGTGCTTTCACATGTTCTACAGCGGCAGATGTAGTCATCTACTGCTACTCATATTTGCATTTCACATTTCCGTGTGAAATATGAACTTGTGACCTTGAAATTAAATGCTCAGAGTTTCATGTTAATTTATTGAACCCAGTACATTTACCACCATACTTTTATTTAAATGTCTGTCAAGAATGGGGTGTTCCTGATCAGTACCAGGGGACCATGAAGCCTGCACCATCAACAAGAACTGCCCAAGGTGCAAAAAGACAGATTGACCATCACAACCTCTCACATTCAGGATAAATCCTTTCAAGCTGTGATAACATCTGTCATAAAATATCACAAAAAATAAGGAGAGTCTTTTCACTTTCAGAGGCCAAAATTTTTCTTTTCCACAGTAGCACATCATAGCAGCATCTTCCTGGCTGTCAGAATCATGTAGAACTCTACAAATACCAAGTGCTCTTTCTACTCTTGAATTAAAATGTTTCTATCATCTGACCCATTTTATCAAAATCTGTTCTTCCTCTCTAAATATAACTTGAGAACAGACAGTCTGAGTTCAAGTGTAAACTGCCGTCCAAAGTCACTCACTTTTTGATTGACACACTGCATCTTTGCATGTCCACATTAAAACTATTATTTCACAGACCTGACAGTTGAGAATCCAGTGTGGAGCTTGAATGTTCAATATAGCCTGAGGTTTTGCCCCTTTTTACTTTGCCCTTTTATGGATAAAGCTTGCATAGTAAGCTAACTATAGCATAAGGTCACATATAGTACATTTATGTTCTGTGTTTCATGTAACGTCAATATTTTTTGTGGGGTTTTTTTTCACACAAGCTAAATAAAGTATGAGCAATGAAGTCATGTTAAACCCACCTAACTTTAAATTTGGTTAGATTTGAAAGAAATAGAATAGAGTCCGCAAAAGTTTTCTTATGCACATCATGACCACAGCTTTCTCCAATGCCTTCTGAGCTCTGACAATATTTCATGTAGATACAAATGAGGTAAAAAGCAATAGATTCCTGTAAGTAGGCACATGACTGTTTTCACCTGCAGCCATTTGGATAGCTTTTATCACTGCTCCTGTAATCCATATACTTTATCAGAAAAATTAAAATTCTGCTCCGGAAGTGAGGAAGTTGTAGCAGCTTTTCATTAGAAAAGTAAAGTCCATAACTTCCTGCAAAACAAATGAAATACTTTCAAAATTTATGTTGAATTGACAAGACAAAAACCTAGGCATACCGGTGGGAATCGTTATGTAGATGACTGATCCAGAAGTGTGGATCATTCACAATATCAGCAAAAAAAAATTAGCATAATCTGAATAATATAAAGAAACACAATAAGAAACAGATAAATAAAATTTAATTTATTTTCCACATTTTCCACTGGATTTTTTTTGGTATTTCCTAACCTATCCCTATTTTATATCACATATGATTCATGTTTGTATTAACTTGAAGGCGACTAGTCATAAAATATTGCAATTTTAATTCATAAAATTTACAATAAAACTGTAATGTCTCACTGAAAAATCTGTCCTGTATCACTGCGTACTTTATTTTGTGATGAATTTCTGATCATTTCTGTGTTATCACATTTGGTGTTTATTATCTGCTCTACTACCCTTCTATTGCTCTTCATGCTTCCTATAATTCCCTTTCCTCCCTTATAAGTCTTTACTTTGTAACACTTAAATCACTTTAAACAATTTGTAACACTTAAATTGCCTTTAAAGTAAGCAATTACTTAGGGAAATAATATAATTTTCTCTGTGACATCAGACACTAAGGTCTTGGACAGTATAAATACTAAAAACCAGCAAGACTTTTAAAGTTATAATAAAAAGTTATTTGAATTTTGGAATATCATGCAAGGAAAAAAAGGTAAGGAATTCAGCTGTGATAAAGTCCAATCTAAATGTTTGCCCCAGGGTACAACAATGAAAATTAGTACGTCTCACATCCAATACCACTGAAAAGTATTTCCATTTTTTCAGAGAGGTAAATTCCTAGATTCCTCTGATATTCTTAACATGAGTTATTATTCCGCAGTGCTCCAAGGAAAAAATAAAAAGGAACAATAAAGCAGGACACAATGTGAAAAATGTGTATGTCATATTTTCAGGATCCTTCATCCCCACAAATCTTGACGGAAAACAGGAATGTTGTTTTATTAAAAAATTATCATTAAACAATCAGTATAAATTAATTAAAGCTTCTAATGTGGGATTATGATCAAGACATAGCTGAAGTGGGAGATCTCCAAGTAACATCCTCCTCTGAAGTCTATCTTGCACATCCATGATAAAGTGCTGTGACTGGTTAGTTAATGATTACTCCTTGCAGATTTTAGTGAGAAGTTCTATCCTGAACTTGGTCAAAGAATTGTCCTCCTGATAGTGTTTCCATAAAATCCAACAGAAGTGATTTCATAATATTCTGAGGTAATCACAAAAAGAAATTTTGTCAAAAAAATGCTGTGAGTCTTACTGAAAAAGTAAAAAGACCCTATTGATAAATACACATGAAATGGTCATTTGTAAAGAATAAAATATCAGGTGAGCACTAGTGTTGTGGTGTGGCTTTATTTAGTCAACTGGCTTTATTAATGTTTGTTAGCCTTTATGCTCCCCCATTTGTCCCCTCACAGTTGGTTTGATTCAAGTTCCAACTGTTCCAGTTGGACTTGGAACAAGTCCCAAAAGTTCCCACCACTTGGCTCCCCAGTTATCTGTCAATCTTCTCACCTCTCCCTGTTTTCTCCTTATTTGGTTCCATCAATCCAAGTTTGTTTATACCCTTTTGTCTGCCAATCCTATAACCATCCCCAGTTTCTTCCAAGAAGTTTTGCATCAATCACTCCAGTTTAGCTTTTCTATTTGTCCCCTTACTTTGTACCTATCCCTGCCACATTATCATAGGTTGTTGTATCCCTCTCTGGTTTATACCCATTGGGCAAAACAGTTTTAAACCCCTGTCTGCCCACCCCCTATTTAAGTTGCTGTAATCATTGATTTCTTCGGCATTTGTTCCTGCACCCAGCCAGAGGGCACCTTTCTTGCCCCACCTGGGGAAATAAAGGACTCTTTGGGCTGGCATACAAGTGTCCTCTCTCATCTCTTCACCTCCTCTCAGAGTGCAGAGATACCCAAGCTGCGCACCCACGAGCAGCACTCAGCACCATCAGGGGCAGACGATTCTCCCCTGAGGTGCCACTCACGTGGAGGCCACGCGGCCTCATGTGGGTTGTGCCAGCAGGCTCATTCAATCTGCCCAGGGCCATAGCAGGCAACCTCTGCACATTAGAGGCTATTTTTCTTTTTTTTTTAGCACTAAATGGGATGAAATATGTTTATGAGGTGTTGGTCTCTGATACACTTATATAGCCTGCTTCACATACAGACTTGAGAGTTTTATTTTCTATTTAGTTTCCTTCTCTCAGAAAATCGCACGCTATACTCTCAGTTATATAACCCATTTAGCCAAAACTTAAGGTATACTTTGGCATCCTGCCTTAAAAAAAATGCTAAAAACAAGTAAGAAAGAACAGTAATATAATTATTTTTATTGTTACCAATATGCAGGAAACTTGTTTTTCAGAGCTGATAATTCAATAAAGAAATATATTTTCAAGTTTTCTTCTTTTTAATAGTTAGAACATCTAGAGATTAGAAAGATTTTGATCTCTCGACTATTCTTCTCCATGTTACCATTTCACAGATAAAAAATTATATTGCACAAAGCATTGAAACTCTCTGGAAAATGCAAGTTTGATTTAAAAAAAAAGTTAACATAGTTTGTAAGTAGTACAGATTATGAGCTGTGTGTACTTCTTTTTGAGAAATCCAAATGTGGTTTAGATGACATAATCAGGATCATACACTTTTTCACATCAAGCATAGTTTTTGATCAACAGACCTACACTAGCAGAAACAAAATAGCCTTAATAAATGAGCTTTACTTTTCATACACAAGCAGTATTTGATTTTTGGCTAGCTCAAATCCAATAATGAAGCTGGCTATTAAGATGTGTGTGCTTGAGACTTCAAAACAGGGCTGAATTTTAATTGTAGATGCTTTGTACCTAGATCAGTTCCAGAAAATAAAGGGAAGAATTGCTCTTAAACCAAGGATATAATTCAGATTTAAAGAAAAAATTCATAATCTTAAGAATATGATAGAGAGTAATCCAGTTTGTTTCAAGACAGTTAACATGGTAGGTAAAGTTGTGTGTAAGAACTGCAGAATATCTCAGAATTATGTTGACACTGTTAGCCTGAAAAATGTATTAAGACAGACCCATTCCCACCTAGAATTCTAGCAGAAGATACAGCAGGTCTGATATTTGAGCAGCTCACTTATTTACATGTTCCTGCACAAAGTTTCCGTTGAGCTCACCAGTCATTTGGGCATTGAACACACATGATGACAAGGTCCACTATGGTGGGAGTTCCTGTAGACCCTGATTTTATTCAACTTTGTTAGGAATCTATCACCTTCCAAGGTCTTTGTGCCCTATGATCCTCTAGGAGTGTTAATACCAATGTCCATTTTTGCTTTGAGGGTATCTCTGCTGGATGAGTATGTTTCTGCAGGTACTGACTGCCTATCAGCTCTGTTGCATGTACTTCCAGAACAGAACAGGTTACAAGACAGCTAGTGTGGAAATTCTGTTGGATCTTTGGGACTTCCTTGATGGACTTGTGAGGAGTTGCAAAAACACAAAAATGCTACATGGAATCATGAAGCCCACAGAAGAAGTCTGCTAAACTCACAAGCAAAATGTTCTAGCTTTTGGAGACCCTCTGAACCTAAATATAAATGATACATTTGCCACATATATAGAAGTAGTATAGACTCCAAACTGGAAATAAATTTCAGGATAATATAAGATGATAGCTTTGTTAAGACAAAAAAAAATTCAATCTTGAATATAAGAGATTGTCTAAAATATTTCTAAAAATTATTTTGAAAGTTTTAACATTTCAACTGAGGACTAAAACAAATACCACAAAACCTCCCTAAATTTGCATTCAAATTCAGGTTGGCAACAGTTATCTTGCAAATATTATCTTACCATAATTTTTTTTTCTCTGTTTGTGGTGAGACACATGTGAAAATTGCATAGTATGGTGGTACACAATCTAAATTGACTCATGGACATTAAAGTAGAGTAAGTGGGGTTCAACAAGAGCATTCTATCTTCATTTCCTGTCTACCCTCGCTTTATGTTTGAATTTTAAAACAGTTTGGGAAAGACAGCCTTGTTTGCAGCAAGTTTGTTGTGAGCTATGGTGTCATTATTTTCTTAGATGTCATTTGTTGATAAAGCCTGTCAATTCCTTTGAGAAAGAGTGATTGATTCCTGTTCACTTTTATTACATGTGCCTGAACTTGACCATTGTAAATGTCCTTGTCTACTTTTGCCTTCTGTGTCAACTTGGGATCATAACCATGGCTTTTACCACCAATTTGGATTCATAGATGTGCAATTCCCCAATTCACTCATGTGGATAATGCATTCATCCTATAGCATTCTATTTCAGGACAGTGATGGTTGGAGAGGAACAGTAGTCACAAGTAAAGAACCATTTAGCAGCTATACTGCAATCTGTTCTAAAGTATCTTATGGTGTCTCTCTCCACCCCTATCCATCTGTAGCAATAATCATGTGAGACAGTCTTTGAAATAGTGGCACAACCAAGGGACTATATCAGGCATTACAGATCCAGTTCAGCTTCCCATCCCATTTCTGACATTGACTTCATTAATACAACTATGTCACACCTGAGTCGTAAAGATGGAGTGTCTGTAGATGTTTTTGTTCCTTGGTGAGTACAGAATACAGAAGTGAAGGCAAAATAACACATTCTGGTTGTGATGAGGAATACAATAACCCATCACCATAGCAAAGAGAACATTTTATTTGAAAAATACAAAAAAAAAATATTTTGTCCCTTTTGTTTATTAAAAGAAAATGTAACAATTTTCTATCAATAACACTTGCATAAGGAGGTATACTTTACATTACTCTTTTGTTTAAAAAAAAATATATATTTTTGGAGATTTTGGAAAAATATGAATGGTCCAAAAGTGGTAACACACTTATAATGCTCCTTAGAATGCACTGCGCCATTTATATATACTGCAAATACAAGGTTTTAACATTTTATAATAATCCACAAATTAATGCTAGGCAGCATATTTTCATATCCTTTTTTTCATTCAGAATATTCCCTTTGTTACCCTTTTGTGAGCTTATGAGTTTGGTTAATTTCAGACTGGTCCAATAATTACATTTTCTAAAGGATGTTTTAAAAAATTCTTAGACCACAAAAATTTTATAATTCCATTTAAATATCAGAAATAATACTTTCCCATAGGCATTTTCTTAAAGTAGTCACAATTTAAACAACTGCATAAATTAGAATTAAAACTCAAAAATGCTTGCAGTTATTTCAGTTTTCTAAGAAGAATGCAAAAAAATAAAGTGCATAACAGAATGAAGTTACTTTTAAAATTTACAGTAGTCTATATGTATGCATTAAAAGGTAACCCTGATAAACAAATTAATTTGTTTTCAATGTACGAATCTTAATCTAATGCCAGTTGAATTCAAGCTCCTCCTTGTCTTTAAAGTGCCTTAAACTACATTTTTGATGGGTTTTAATTTGACAATTTAGTTTCACATTTTACAATTCTTCTACTGACCATTTTTTCAGATTATTTTGACTTGTCAAGATTACAGTTTACTGAGTGCCCTCACCATTACAAGAAAGAGGGTTTGAAGGAATTTGAAGGAATTTGAAGCTGCATTTGAAGGAATGCAGCTAATTATTTTGGTGGAAATGTACTATTAATTGAATGGTTGTTGTAGAAATAAAACTGTAAATAGAAAAGCCCTTAAGTATCACTTTGCATGTGCCATTTAACTTTACTCAGTATTCTCAGTTTAAGTCAAACTGGCAGCTTTCAATATTAGTTGTTCAGCAGCAATGGGATTACTATTTATGCTAATAGGAAAATATTTGAGAATATCAGTACAAGAAAGATCCATGAAAGCTTTAAGCATAGTGTATATTATGAGATTTAACCATAAACTGAGAAAAAAATTCCCACAATACTTTCACTGAATATATGCTTTTTTTAAATCAGCAATGCTACAAAATGATTGTGCGATCCAGTGTTAATTTTCTTCCACTTCTAGGAAGGTCAACACAGAATCTAGGTCAACATAGAATTTCTCAAATATAGTTTAAATTTGATTTTAGGATACAAAGGATCAAAGGGGTTATAAAATTGTAAAGTTGTTATTTCTGCACTGTAAGGCCTTCTTCTGTGGCCCTGAAGATTTAATATTCTGTTATTTGTCATGCAAACACGACACTGTGATGTGTATTTGAATAAAACACAGAAAGCATAGCAATCATGCAGACATATCATGATAGAAAAGCACATTTGGCAATCACTGTGGATAGGACGTACCAAACAGGACACACCGCAGCATCACAGAAGCAGTGTCTCAATAACCCTGCAAAGTTTTAAAGGATTCAGGTTTCCTGGGTATGATGAATGTGCTGTATAGCAGCAAAGACAGCACCAGGAATGGAGAAAAGTGAAATATTATTTCTCTGCAATATAATTAACTTAAACTGACCATTAGTGTAAGGAGTGACTATTTGCTTGTCACTACACTTCTGTTGCCTGTAAACCTGACCATTCTGTGATGTAAATAAAAAAAAAACAACAGCATGAACATTGCTTTAAACAAAAAATACAATCAATTTCCCTTACTTTGGTGTAGAGACAGAGGGAATAGGCATAAAGATAACTAATACTAGTTCTCAAAACTATTATACAACAATGAATGCAATTTTCATGCAGCTGTGATACAAAGTATTATGGTACTAGTAATGCTGAAACATTTTGTTTTTAACACACTACTCATACAGTATAAAAATTTAGATGTTGGCGTAAAGCAAGTGTGACTTAAATAAAAAGAAAATTTATCCTAATAAAATCCCACAATACTAGTTGCTTTATTTGGGACAAAACTGAAACATATCCTAGTTCTACCCCCAAAAAGACAATAAAAGACAACCATTCTCAGCTTGTGTGTAACTCTAACTGCATCTAACTTCACTCTACAGTAAGAATGCCTCCTTGAATGCTTTTCTAAAAGATTCTGTATTTCATGAAAGTATATAAAAATTTAACAGAAATTATTAAACTACTTTCAAATCATCAGGAGAATATTTTAGGGTTCAGGTGTTTTTCCATACTAAATTTTCCTGTGGGTTCATATTCTGAAAGAGAGAAGAGTAATTACGATTTTTAAACAAAGTAGTGTAAAAAAAAACAATTCTGGAACTACAGTACAACTAATACTTTATAGAGTGTAAAAGTTGCTTACAAAGATACTTTCTATTTTTTCCAGAAGGCTGTTTAAACCAAAAGCAGTCAACTACAGCTCAGGAAAAAAACAAAAAAAACAACTCTTCAAAATAAACTGATCAAAAATTTCAGTTATGTCTAGGACCTATCCAACTATAGAGTAAAGAAAAGAAGGCTTAATTATCTAGTTCACCTGTGTGGCCTACAGTAGATCAGCAATAAATATACACCCTTCTTTACTAAGCTGAATATAAGTGGATATAAGTTGCACCTAAAATGCAGAGCGAGGAATCTAGGGCAGCATTCAAATTTGTATCACTCTACACACCAAGCCACAGAGTAAGAAAAAAAGTACACAACTTCTACTCTGGATAGTTTTCCAATCAAACGCATACTGGAAGAAGTCAATTTGCCTAAAATGGAATTAGAATTAGAAGCAGAGGACTGTTGATAGTGATCGTGAGTATTATAGGTCAGAAACCCAGTTTCTAGTCCGCTCACAGTATTATCACCAGAAAGACAAAGAAAAGGTTAAAATTCCTAACAAAGGAAAGGAAAAATCAGAAGCTGTCAGATGAGGAGCTAATCAGGCTGTTATGGTAAGCAGAACTGTTTAGCAGTTCTGCTGCTGTAATGCTAAAAAAAGAAAAAAAATAATTGCTGGATTAGGTGTTAAGCACCTTGCTGTGTTAAGGAGAACTATCATTTCTGCAATGCTACAAAGTTACTAATGTAAAAAATCAATTTATTTAATCCATAGGAACCACAGTAATGGGATATTTCCTTCACTGACTTAAAATGCTCTTGTTTCCATGATGCTTGAAATAGGGAAAAAAACATGTTGTTCTTCTGAGGTGGCAATTATTCTAAGAAAAAATAGATATCAGTAGATTGAATTTAAAAGAAAAAAGCATAATCATCTTATTATCCTTGCTTCAATTTTTGCTATACCAGTGTATTACCAGCAGCTCTATTTTGCTTTTAATCACACACAGAAATAGAAAAACATTGTGATTAAGAACTCTGAGTTTTAAACAGACTGTTGTAGCTTCTGGACTCAGACCAGTAAAAGATTTAAAAAGCTTCAGCTCTTGATATAAGTGAAGCACAGTGAACCAAAAAACCCCACATAGTTTAATGATGCCGCCATTTTTGTTTTTATTGAAAAAGCCTATGCTTCATCTGCTTAGCTGCATAAAGAGTACTTTGGGCCTATTCCATTTAGATGAATTATGTTCCCATGAAAAGACAAAAAGAAAAAGCACAATACTGGAAACAACCGTTCCTCTAGCATTTAGTAACAGAGCAGGTCTGGGGTTATGGGCTAGAGTTTGAGCTACAGATAATGATGTCCTCCATCTGTTAGCTGGTTATGGACGACAAGATTATGAAGGACATAATGAAATGACAGCTTCTCAATGCAACCTGCTAAGTCAATAAGATTAAATCATCAAAGGACCATTTATTTAAGAGGAGAAGTGTGGCTTATCACCTCTGTAAAGGAAACAGACTGACAGCACTTCTCATACTGATAATAAACCTCATTGTCTACCTCATGTTGGGATCGCAAGGCCTAGAGCACAGCTAGAAATGCAACATCACAATCACCTGCAAGAGATTTGATCTTCTGTTAGCTCTCTTCTCAAACAGACATGACCATAAACTTACTGTAACTTGGAGCTGTTATGCATATTGCAATAAAAATGCCATTTCTTGGCTTTACTTTAGGCATTGTTGTAGATAAGATACCAGACATTTTAATGAGCAATTTAAAAAAATACACAAGGGACAATAGATTTTTTTCTGTATTTTCCAAGATTTGACTTTCTTTTAATTGGAGAACCCAGTTTCAAATATGAAAAGGGCACTTGTTCTACAGTAACTGCATACAATTTACTCAGTTCCAAGTACAGTATTCACTTTTTTGTTACCATTGTTATCATTATCTGTCCAGTTATTTAGGAACTTCTCTGTTCTGGGAATTACAACTTAGTTGTTCTTTCTGGTTCTACTTCCCCATAGAGTTCAGCTAGCTTCTTGAACTCAGGTCCCCAGTCTCCAAGGTAATTATAATCCTGGTCAGAGTGTGTCGTTGCTGAATCCAAAGAGCTGATAGACCCAGCTTCTGATCTATGACCCTCATAGGCATATGTCTGCAGGGAGTCATAGGGGGGCACACTGGGGTCCAGATCAGCCTCTGCTAGTCTTTGATTAAGGAACTCCTGAACATCTATACTGTCAAGGCTTGAGGAGGGATGATGCCTGGACAGAGGCTTCACTTCAGGATGAACATCCCTCCGGTATTTTAGCTCTTCAGCAGCAGATGGATTCCTCAGTGCTGTGATGTCAAATGCTTCTGTATCTTCCTCTCCACCTCCCTCATCATCATATGTCACAACATTTTCCCGCACATCTTCTTCTGAAATGATCAAAGGCTCCTTCTTGCTACGTCTTAGGGTGATGAAAAGGACCACAATTGCTAAAGAGAAAACTGCAGATATTAGAATAGGTTTAAAGTTTACATCTGAGTATGTTACATAAATAGCATACACTAAGTCAAAAATACAAAGGTGCAATATTTTCAGGCTGATATTTTCAGTACTGGTATTTGGGATCACCTGCTACTTAGTTTATTAGGGATCTCATAAAGGAGATAATGGAGATAACATTCTTTCAGGTAAAAGAAAAATGAGTAACTAAAGTTGGCTTTTTTCAGAAGCATAATCCAGGGCTTTCAGTCGTTCATTAAAAACAATGTTTAGCATATAAATTGAATTGATATGTAAAACATTTATTTTTTCTTATGAATTTTCAATTTTGTGTAATAAAATACATATACATATAACTATATATTTTAAAACAGCCTTCTGACAAGAAATACTGAAGCAATCTGTAAAGAAAGTAGGTCTTAGAAAATGTACTCTTTGGGAACAAAGCCCACAAAATATCCTCTCAGTTACACTGCAATTGCTATTATTTCTTGCCTTCTCTGTACAAATGCAGAAAATCACATGAGTAGCACAGAGTCATGTATGCAGAAAGCTGTGTCTCTGACAGAAAAAAAAAAACAAACTAAAATCAGCCACAGTATTTACTAATAGGTAACATTTGAATTAGGGGAAAATAAAAAACATAAAAGAGTGAAGAAGAAATGCACTTGCAATGGCATTAATCTTATGAGTCTGCTTATAGTCTCCTGTGTCCCTTGTCCCTATGGATTATGTTGTGCATTGCTATCAGTTTATTCCACAAAGGTAATTAAGAAATGGCTTTTGTAGAGAGCTAATGATGCTTCTTACAGCATAATGCAATTCATAAAGCTTTGCCCATCTATTTTCTATAACTTTTCATACTGTTCAAGACATGATATTAGAGTCATCTCTTTTTGAAATCCTTCCAAATTATGGAAAAAAAAGTATCTCCAGTCCTAATTACTTGATAACTTCTGAAAAAAATTTCTACTGGATTCCAGATATTCAAAAATTTACTTTAAAGGCAATTTCTCTTATTAACTGTAGCTAAACTTCTACCCTCTAATCAGAGCTGAGTGTTTCTAATTGTCTCCTACTACAAGGCAACCATTGTTTTAAAAACATACCATTTGTAACCTTGTGCCCTGTCACATTCTGAGAGGCATTGGAGGTATAGTATTACTTAGTATTGCAAATGGCTCACCAAGAAGGATGACAATGCAGAGCAGGATTGCAATTAAAGCTCCTGTGCTCAAGCCAGCCGAGGAGAGGAAAGCTTCAGCATGACAAGTTCTCACTCGTCCATCTCTCTCACAGGCACAAACCCGGATGGTGAGGGTACTGCTGCTGCTGAGAGGGGGCATGCCACCATCAGAAATCAAAACTGGGAGGTAATAGATATCTTGAGTGGTTCGACTGTATCTCCTTCGCTTTGTTAGAATACTGGCTGTATTATCTAAAATGTCAAAACAAGAATAACATTTCAGTGAAGTAAAAAATGAAAAAAAAGGAAAGAAGTTATTTACTGTTTGTTTCCCATCAATGGAAGCATGAGACATATTAAAACTAGCCAGCCCTAATCTATGAAAATGCACAATCTAGAATTAAAGTTTGTCAGGAAGCCTCTCTGGCCAATAGAGGAAAAAGGGGAGGAGTTGGAAAGTAACATTATATAAATAAGAATATTTAAAACTGTTGCATTTTTATTGGAATCAAGTGAACCTTGACACAAATTTTGGGCCAAATTTGCAGGTGTTTTCCTCCCATGTTATACTGCTGATAACATATGGACCCTTGTCAAACTGACTAGCTGGAATTATGAGGATATCTATTGTGAAATTTTTGCACAGCAAAATCCTCCAGACTCTCAGAAGAATATTAAAACTTCTTTAGTAAAAGCTAAAATAAGACTTTCATGTTTTAGTGTTTGCAAAAGGTTTTAGAGTTTTATTGAGCTTTCAGAAAACATCTGAAAGGACAGTCACCAAAGACACATGCTTTGGAGAGGTCTGGAGAAAGTGGGAAGGCAAAGGAAGGGGAAAAGAGTAGATATTGCATGTTCTACACTAGTAGAATTTAAAGATAAATAAGAAAGGGGGAGGTAGTAACAAAAGACTTTTTCACCCTTCTGTTACCTACGGGTCCATATGGCATAGACAATGAAAATCTAATGCTTGTTACACACACATTGCACGAGCATTTGTAGGTGCTAATGAGAGTAGGAAGTTACTACACATATCCCTTCAAGTCTAAGAAACTAAGAGGCATAAAGATCATGCAGGGGAAGAAATGTTTTAACAATATATAGTTATAGCTAATATTCATATGTGTAAAATTTATTTTCAGTTTGTTGCCACCATTGTTTAAATTTGTTAAAATGCCTCTGAATAAAAGTCCAAGATAAATAAAAAATAAAAAAATTTGAAACAGTGATAATTTGAAACACAAGCAGTTATGGAGAGAGATGAGGACTGATACATGGAAAGAGACATTAGAAGAAAAGAGCTTTCTTCTTGTATTGCTTGTCACATGGTTTCCAAATTGTGGTGTTATGAGATTGGAGTATTTTAGTAAACAATAGAAAGTTAATAAGTGCTGAATACATCTGCCATGTTTCTCTTCCTATTTCAAACAAACAATAATTTTTTTTTATTTTTCCTTACCTCTGTATCTACAGTATTAAATAGCTTTATCTTAATCTATGGAAAAATGAAATCCATGTCACTCTGTGAAAATCTAGTGCAATAATATAGTCAGTATGCCATATGTTTGCCCATTGGACTGCTGCACACACATTTGAGTGAAAGAGTTAAGTTTTTGTTTAAACTGGATACAAGATCTGTTTCAGGTGGTTACTCTCCATGCTACTTTCTGTCAAGCTCTGTGCAAAATTTTAAAACATTCATTTTAACCCACTTTTGCCAACATTTTATTTTGCATGCCATCTGACAGTGATATTTAGAAAAACTGGTAATATCATCCCACATCAACATAATATATTTTGGTAGCAGGTTTCACAGAAGAAATACATATATAAGCTGGGAATTGATACCCTTGCTGGTAAGCCAAGAACTCAGCACTGAAATCCTTTAGCTTTACTTCCATACATAAGCAGTACCCACAACACTCCTCCACACTCCTCCCCATTTTGGAAATATCAAATATACAGCATGGTGAGTTTGTTATAAATTCATTGTGTTCTCTTCATTTTTGTGAAGTTTATTTGTTGCATATACATCCTGCTCCCATAATATTTTGCATTTTGTTGTTCTGGGACTGCTAGGACTCTCGCATAACACCCAAGCAGAGTTACTGTTATAAACATACACCAGCGACCCTTCTCAAGCAGTATGGACAAGAGTGCACCAGGTTTTTTTCCTGCCTCAACATTATTTCAACAATCTACAGATCCTTAAGCATTCCTTAATAGCCTCATGCAGGCGCTATAATACATTGTGGCATGTATATTCCTTTTCCAATATGATAACAGTATGTTGTTGAGCTGCAATACAACTTTCACGTTATTTTGGAAATTCAAAAGAGAAAAACCTATTGATAATGAAGTCTGGTTTCCACTGGTTTCTATACAGAGTCAAGAGGAGGTAAATGGCCGAGTGCTGTCCTTGTTGCCTGTGACTTAAATTTTAAAAAGAGTCAATTGTCCAGTGCACAGGTCCAGTAGCAGTGATGAAAATGTTGGCTGACAACAAAAGCATCAGAGACTGAATATAATGAAGAAAAACTGAGGACTCCTGCTCAGGGATCTTGCAGTAATTTTAGCACAGACAATACTGGCAAAGATGTAAAGGAAAGAACATTGAGATGTGAGAATGTATGCTACAAGGGTAAATGTGGACAGATGGGAGGAAAAGTGTGAGGAAAAAAACTATTAAAGCTAAGAGAAAAAAAGAAAAGAGAAAACAATGAAGAAATGAGAAAATTATACAATTCAATTTTACAGTGAAAAAATGTGAAAAAAGCTATAATTAAACCTTGCTTCTCTGTGAGGAAGGCCTTGCCAAACAAAGAACTGATATTTTTATACTGTATAGAATAAATACAAATTAAAAAATAGATTTTTTTTTCTTTCAGTGTTGTATTTGTTCATTCAATATTAAATTGTTTTTCTTGGACTGTTAACATTATATAATTAAATACAAGATACAATGAAATATTGGTGTAAGACACAATTAAATGAAAAAGGGAACCAATACAAAATTTTTAATTTCAAAGAATTGTCATGGTGAATTTTTGTTTTTTGTATTCTCTTGAGTAGTAACTAGATTTCTGTAGAAACAGATGTTACATGACATACCCAGAAGTTTCTGTAATAACATACCCAGTGATAAACATTCTCAAAGAAACAATGTAAAGTTTTTACTTCAATGAAATTTCATTATTTTGACACAAATAAAAAGTATTATCTTTGAGACACTGGCTTGGAAATTTTCTGTTCCCAATATCATCAGAGGTGTCATTTCTCATTATTTCTCTATCACAGGTTTAGATATGGTAACTTAGTGCATTGTGTTTACATATAAGTAAAATACTGGAAAGTATCTGAACTCTCACATGCTATTTTTGTCCCATTAAATTTCTTAAAATATTATTTCTTAAAATCTTAAAATAAGATATCTAACATTTTCTCAAAAGAGGAAACTGTGTCTGGTTTTCCAAAGGTCACTGAGCATCCAAAATTCTGGTGTTCTGAGCTTTCAGATTTTAATTGCTTTTGTTTCTTGTCAAAAACCATTATAGGAATGTGTGGAGAGAAGAGCTAGAAAGGCAGTAACTTTTAAGAGCTTTGCACAGAACAAAAAATCTCTCAATCAGTAAAAGCTGTAGGCAGCCAAGGATAAAGTCTGACACTGATGATATAGAAAAGAGTTTATTGAAAAGGGGAAAAAAGTTATATCAACAGCAATAGTTTGAAAGGCAGCCAGGGGGTTATGCAGTGAGAAATTTCTTTGGTATCTGAAAAAAAGATACAGCAAATAGTCGGGGAAGGCAAGCATATGGAATAGCAGTAATAGCAGCAGGATGATGAGCACTACAGATCTCACACTTCTAGGCCTGGAAGGAAAGATTTTTTTATATCAGTAGATTTAAATGGTGAACTTCACCTCTGAGGTATGGTAAGAACCAGGACTTACTGGAGATTATCGGACTGACTGCTAAGGAAAACTAACAACTCCCACATAGGGAAAGAAATATTTATCTTCTACCTTGTGTTATACATTGCTCCATTTAATGATCTAAATTTTCTAATGATTTAAACCTACTCCTGTTTGGGCTGCTCTTTGTAAATATGTCAACTAGAAGTTAAGCTTTATCTTAAGTGCATTTGAGGTTACCCATGGGAAATGATGCATGGCTGTAACACAGCAACTCTTCACACTCGGAAGATGTCATAGTTTACTAAGCCAAGCTGTACACTGTATGCAAGGCTGTTATCACAGTCTTTTTTCCATCATCTCTGCCTTTTTATATTGAGCTTCTAATCTAAATAAAGAAATGAGGGCATAGGAAAATCCAGGAAGCAGAGATACAATGGTAAGACCATGGTAGGTGACAACTAGAGCACATTGGAAGATGCTCATTTATTATTCACAATTTGAGAATTCCTTTGACACATTATGCATTTAAAGCAGAGACAAGACAAAAAAAAAAAAAAAAAAANCCAGGAAGCAGAGATACAATGGTAAGACCATGGTAGGTGACAACTAGAGCACATTGGAAGATGCTCATTTATTATTCACAATTTGAGAATTCCTTAAAAAAAAAAAAAATTAAAAAAAAAAAAAAAAAAAAAAAAAAAAAAAAAAAAGTAAAATCCTGTTTATATCTTAAGGCATGTTTCAATTTTCAGTTCTGCTTGTGTCAGCAGTTACATTTTCTGAGAAGTCATAAACTAATTAAAAACAAAGGAGATATATTGGAATGATTTTAATTTCTTACATTTCTAAAGTTGGAGTTGTTAATTTGTTTATGTGAACTACATGATAGGTATTTCTGTTTCATTTCTTTATTGATAATTCTTGTAAGTATTTTTTCTCCTTTGCTGTCTTCAAAGCTATTGCCAATGGGCCGAAGCTATTAGTTTCTATAAGTTTCAGTAGGTAGCAAAAATGAAAAGCAACATAGTACACATTTTTGGCCTGAAATATAGTTATTTGCTTATAGTTGGTTTGTGAATCACTAACAAGTTGCAGTCCAGAAAAGAAAAGCAAGAACCTCTACACGATGTGCTAAAGTAACTTTACTATCAAACCTAGAGCCAGCTTTAAAAAAAAAAATGTCAAAGATGTTCAGAGGCATGAAGAGGGAAAATGTCTTCCCTCCACAGTAGCTGCTCCTGGTTTTCTGTTATACTCATGGTAGAATTCCTTTTTAACTTCCATGTGTTGAATCTGTGATAATAGCTACTCAGACATTCAATTCATTTACAGTAACAGTACTTCTGTGGACTGTACTTACAGTCACCATGTATGATATTAACTTTGCACTTTCTCAGATATCATTTTTCTCCAGTTACAACTTGTCTTCTTTACAGGATGATATTTTACAGAAGGTCAGCAGTGATTCACAGTGCCACATAACTAGAACAACCACGACTCTGTGATGTAAATGAAAGCAAGCACTGTGTGAACATTTTTCTCTTGTGATGGGTTGCAAAGCGGAGGCTTCAATCCAACCATTTTAAATGCCACTTTAGATGTCTAGAACAACTAAGATATGGAATGGAATCTCCAGAATTATAGTGTCAGAAAAATGGCATACCTTTATTCCAGTTCCAGAATATTCTCCATCACTGGGCAAAAATCAAAGGGCCAGATCTTTGAGATAAGTGGGAAGAGGGGAAAAATAAATTGAAAATGCTTTTGTCATATGAAACCTCTGTCCTGAAGAAATAAAAGAAGAGAAAAAACAAATGCGAAGCATTCTCTAGGGAGGTGTTCTTCACTGAAAGTAAGCTAAACTTAGCTATCAGAAGTCGGCAATCTCAATTTACTGAGGTAAGAGAATGCACAGGTCTCAATGACACTGTCAGGTGAATGTGTCCATTATCTGTATAAATCCTTCTTGTCTAGGAAATTTACAATACCACTAAGCATCCATGGAAAACTGTATATCTTGTGATTAAAAAATAACACCAGCAAAACAGTGCTTTACAGTGCAGAAATTTCTTAGATGTTCTAAGTAAACTGTTCCCTGAAGGTTCAATCTTTTTTCCTCTCTTGAAAAATATTATGTAAGTTCTGACAGACATGTCTACATATTAATTCTTGGAAATATGATAATAATGACATGCTCAGATGCATTTTTCATCAGACAAAAAATAATTTGACAAATACATCCACAATTTCTTAGGCATCTGGAAAAATATTATTTTAGAGTAAGGAAAACAAAAGTAAAAGTCTAGAATTCAATACATAGAAATTGATCTACTGGGAAAAATTTCTATTGTCTTTATTCTGATTTCCAAACAGGAGATTGTTTTAGCCCCATATAGTTATGGTAAATTTCTAATGGGATATGCAAAAGTAGATATTTCTGATTATGCAAAAAGTGAAATTTGTGATATTAGAAAAAGGATTACAAAATTATCTATGACAATATCCTAAAAAAAAAGTAAGGAGAACACAGACAACAATGAAACGAGTTATGTATAATCTAATTTACAATATAAAAGCTGAGTAGAAAAAGTACTTGGCTTCTCAAGTTTTAATAGAAATGGTAACAATTTTCTAGGCAAAATAAATTGCAAACAAACCTGTTTGCATTAAAAGATCTTCATAAGTTCAATTCTCAAATAAAAAAGAAAGGATTCTTCTCTGGGTTTGCTCTCTAAAGCTGCAGAAAATTATTACAACTTAATGTATTTTCTTTGTATAATGGAGAAATTCTATTCCAGTTCTGCCTTTCTTAGATGAGCACAGATACTGCATCATTTTGTTGTTGTCCTGTCCTCTTGTTCACACTTTACTCTCTCTGAACAGCACTTTTAAAATATGTAATAAAACTTAAATAGCAATACAGAATCTCTTTTACCTTAAGAATGCAGTAGAGAAAATGTATCATATTCTGCATTTTTCCTTTTTTATTTTTCGTTAAACTGAAAATTGCAGCACAAACAGAATACATAAGAGGATCCTAGGAACTCTTAATTTTGCTGGATGTTATATTTGGTATAGCCCTGTGACTTTATTCTGACCAACATTTCCCTGAGGGTTTTAAGCTATGAATTATAAGTGTGAATATTTCACAAATAGATATTTGATATGGTGGAGATTTTCATTTAGAAAATGCACAATTTCAGGCCCAAGAGATAAAAGTTTAACTGGTCAAATGATCAATAACAGGGACTGAGGTTTTAATATTTATTAAGTTTGCTGAAGTCATAGAATATTATTGAGCTGAATCATACACATGCTGGGATTGTATATTGCTGCGATCTATATAGGTAGATAGGAACAAACTACAGAATCTTATGCTTGTATAATCCCTAGATTTCAGTCAAAGTGCATAGATATAAGCATGAATATTTTAAGATCCAGTGCACAGCTGTGGAGTATACTGATAATAAATGAATATTCATTCATGCTTTTACCTGTCTCTGCAAAATCTATTTGGGGTTCAAGAACAAAACTCTATTGTTTTGGGTTATGAAAACAAGAGGAAAAAATGTCTACTGATATTTTAATGAAATGAAATCTGTTCCTGAAGAAATAAGAGGATGACTGAATTGGAAGGCAATTGCAAGAGGAATATAGTTCTGTAGAGACAGATTCAGGTAGCAATGACTACCATTTTCTATGTGAAATCAAGAATTTGGGTTTTATCATCCTACAAAATATTATAAAAATTCTCTCAAGGCAATTTTTGTAGCTTTTTTTTCCTTTAAAAATACAACAAACAAACAAATAAAACCCTCCCAGAATATCATTCTTTATAGAATTTGGAAAATCCAGAGCAGCTGTCTTCTGTCCAGAGCATTCTGATTATTTTTAATGACTGATGCCTGAAAACATGAGTTTTCAAAAGTGCAAAATTATCACAGACATAAGAAAAGCCTTTCTTGCCCACCTTCTTTCTGCTATTTAATATAATAGAAAACAATAAAAAAATCGGAATAGAAAAATATTCAGAAAATGTTTCTGAATAGAAGTAGATGGGAAATATGAAAACTGTAAATGCTGAATTGCTGCATATTGTGCATGCATTTCATAGGTGTTTCACTAATTCTTTATGTATAGATTGTGTCACAAAGAAAAAGTCCCAATAAAAGACAATGTTTAAACAACAGATTCGAAGTGTCTTGTCCCAAGCAAAATCATAACTATGTAATTGCTTTTAAAATAAATTTTTTGTTATGATTTGAATTAGGCAGCCATTTTTTAATTATATGTCCATTTTGGAAGTTGCATTTTTTGAGTCTCTGTGTGTGTGAGAAGTTTTATGCAAGATACTATAGGAAATGCAAAATTTTGAAATTCCTTAGGTGAAATAAAAACATAATGCACAACAGGCTTTTACTTTAAAAGACACCCTTTTCAGTTCCTTCCTCTACTTCCCCCAAGAAAATCCAATTTAGGGCAGTCCAAACACTGTTTTCAGCTGTTGATTGCTAAGTCATTGCTCGTTGATCTTAGAGAAGTAAAGAAAAAGCAGCAAATGCTTCTATCCAAAATTGAATATTTCTATCCAACATATGACATTGCAGCATCAAATGTTTGCTAGAACATTTGATAGAAACATGCCCTCTTATAAATCTCTGTAGTTAAATAATTTATGTAGCAATGAACAGACATAATACAGACCCAGCTTTAAATATCTTCAAAATCATAAAAGATGTACGTTGTCACAAACCACAATTTTAGTAGAGCTGTTCAAAAAACTCCTTGATGTAAATATCTCATATTGAAATGATCATGCACATGGTCTTTCTCATGAGATCACAGGCTAATACCCAAGGAGTTTATTGGAAACATAGACTAAAATACAGAAATATGTAACAGTACCCGTCCTTCATTTCAGGAACAACAGTCTGGCTTTTTATATAATGTTGCATCACAATCTGAATGGGATTGATGTATTCATGTGGGAAAGTGCTGGTCTCACTTAGGGAACATTTTAAATATATTAATTATATTAGTCCTTCAATATTTATAACTATTTATTAATATTGATATATATTTATTGATCTCTTCTGGAACTTGAATATGAAATCCATTTATGTATTCTAAATAAAGAGCATGATTATTTTTCTTCTGTAAATTTAGTTAAACACAGATTCTTTAGGAAGATTATCCAATCTCCTTCCCTGATTGATTTTACAAACAGTTAAAATCTGTAAAGAATTGTTTCAATATCACTGTATGTACCAAATATAACAATGATGGAGTTAATGCATTACAGAGGACTAGTGATCTGTAGGATCTCAAAATCACAGTAGTACTACAAATACGTAACTGTAAAACAAAGAAAATCCCATACACTTCCACATAGGCATACAAAGAAAGCCCCACAATACATAAACACAAAATCTCAGGAAGAAAATTTAGACAAACATTTAAAAGTTACTTTTATTTTCATCAGGTTGCAAAGTGTAGACTATGAGGTAATACTTGATCAAAAGCAAGGCTGATTTAGGTTTGGGTTTTGGAGGTTGGACAGTTTTTCACTCAAGAAATATCCAGAAACACTTGTTTGGCCGACTCAGGGCTGTTTTCCTTCTGGGACTATGTGTTATGAATTTCTGATTGCAATGTTTAGGAACAGCTGCTTAGGAATGGCAAGAAGAGATAGACTATCATCCAGGAACCGCAGAAGGACCTGCTCTTGATGTCATATCTGTAAAAGCAAGCATGAATTCCAATTTTTATGCCCCTTATTTTTTTTCTCCTTTAAGCAATAATTGGCAATAACCTAGTGCTATTCACCTAAAAGTAGAACAAATTTACATATTTTTCATTAATCCACTTTTCAAAAACATTCCTGAAAGTATGAAGTATAAATGCTAAAATAAAATGGAATATAAATTCAAAATGCAATATCTAATTATTCATAGTTTGCAATATATTGCGTACACATGTCCTTGATATCCAGCAGCTCAGTGATGACATATTACAGTTTTCCGTTTCTATCAGGAAATGCATGGAAATTGTTATGTTCAATTGACACAGCCCAGATAAAACAGAAGCCCATTTCTTTGATATTTATGTATTTGATTTACCTTCATTGTTCCTTAGAGTAAAGTTGGGATTCAAAGAAAGACCTTCATCAAGAGAAAAATGGAATCTTGCACCATTTGCAGAGTTATCTTTGTCAGTAGCAGTGATAGTCTGAATTACCTGAAATAAAATTTAACAGTGAATGTGTTGAAATTTGAACTTGACCCATATAGTTCCTGACTTCAGCAGGATGCTCAAGTTTACTTTGTTTTAATTTTCTACTTGACTGGTGCTGAATTCAACAGGTGAAATTACTGGGTCATTAACTTGATTTCTCTAGCAGGAAATATTTTGGGAACCACACTTCAGAGCCAGGTAAAAGCATCTAAACGATCTATACTTTCTGATGTTTTGATAAGGTCAGGAGCTGGTGTAGAGATTATCACCATCTGCATTGTATCCTGCTGACTTCCTGAACTACAGTTTTAGCTAAATATCTGTTTTTATGGAACCAAAATGCAGGCTGAACTAGGATGGTCTATGCGAAGTGTCATCTGCCTGCTGTCCTAATAATTGAATGTACTTCAATATTGGTAAGGAAAAAAAAAATAACTAAAATATTTCTGCTAACCATATCTCTGCTAAAAAAATCCAGTTAAGAATCAGTTTTAAATTGCCAGAGAACAGAACAGGAAGAAGAGAAGCCACTCCTGGCTTTAGTTTAGTTTTCCCAAAAGCAACAGAACTGTATGTAGCCAGAACCATGTCTGAGAGAGGTACTTTTGAAAGGTAGGACCTTTGCCTTCAAAAGCCCTGGTGGTTTTTTAAATTTACTTTCAACTAAAATTGATCTAAGCTCTTGGAATGTGGCACCAAACAATATTTCTACCTCTGCTTTCATTTTCATGCTGGGTCTTGAAACTCACGTGCTAAAGTGGAATCCAATAAAAGTTTTACTGTGATATGGGGAACAAAGCCCATACAGACTGCTGCCCAGAGCTGATAGATATCCTGAGGGAAACATAAAGCAGGGAGGGAAAGTGATCTTTTCATACGAATTTTTCTGTTCACTGTTCAGTTATACTCTGTCTGAAATATCCACATCGTCTGAACCTGAAACATGCACAGCACCGACTCCAGTGGCTTGGTCTATTTTAAAACTGAAAAACACCACAGAGATCTCTACCCTCATTCTCATAAGAGAAGCAAAACAGATTTCTTTTTAAACCATGTTCTGGTTTGGACTGGGGTAGAGTCAATTCTCTTCACAGTAGTTGGTATGAGGCTGTGGTTTTAATTTGTGCTGGAAAAAGTGTTGGTGACACAGAGATGTTTCTGTCATTGCTAAGCAGGGCTTGCACAGCATCAGGGTCTTTTCTGTTTCTTGTACAGCCTCACCAGCAAGGGGGTGGAGGTGCAGGAAAAGTTGTGAGAGGACACTGCTAAGACAGTTGACTCCAACTGAACAGAAGTTCAGATGGATTTTCCATACAATATGATGTAGTGCTGACTTACAGAACTGGAGGAAGAGGAAAGAAGGAGGGGATGTTTGGAGTGACTGTGTTTATCTTCCAAAGTCAGCGTTGCTACACATGATGGTGTCCTGGAGATGGCTGAACATCTGCCTGCCCATGGGAAGTGGCCATTTCCTTGCTTTTCTTAGCTGGTATCTGCAGCTTTGGCTGTACCCATTACACTGTCTTTATCTCAACCCACAAACTCTCTCTCTTTACTTTCCTGATTCTCTTCTCCATCCCACTGGTGGGGGAGTGAATGAGTGGCTGTGTGGGGATGAGCTGGCATTAAACCATGACAACTCAATAGGGTATAATGCTTATTCCATTTA